ACAGACATATATAATGTCTTACTCTCCTAGATTTACCTTTTGCATGTTAATTTTCTTCATTCTTCTTATCCTGAGCCATTCTTCATGTTGAAATGCTGCTTGACTTTTTTTCTTCCTATTCTTAAATCTCTTGTTTTCTTGCAGTTATGATTCAGTAGAAAGTCCATACACTGTATGAATAAAAAAGAACAAACAATACGAAATATATTTCATTTTGTGAGACATTTTTTATGAAACAGAACTCACTTTTATCAGCTATGTGTATTCAAATCTATAACGATTTCACTAGGCCCACGTTCAGAGAGAAATAATTCCTGTAAGGGAAAAGAAAGAGAAGTTCAATATTTCCTATTTAACGAGGTCCTGTTCTGCCAGACATTCCCCAAAAGATTTCACCCAGTAATTTTCTGCCACTAAGTCTGCCCTGTTGTATGAATCAGAGCACAGATTCCACATAAAATGAGATCCCAGTCTAGCTCAGATAAATCCATGCTCTAGCTTTGGGATAAAAACCTTTAAAATTATTTTAGGGAAACTTGTGAGGACCCACTGAGAAATATCATGACATCTATAAAATGATGTACTTACGGCCAAAATTCCAGAGAAGTCCATTAAATCCACAGATGTAACCAGGCAGCAAATCTGCTTCTCCTCCTCCTGCTCTTCAAGATGTTCCATAATGTCTGCAGCTACACTGAGTTTAAAGGCTTTTCTGAAATAAAAAGATTTCTGCTACTGATATTGGCAGTACTATAAAAATAACACAGACCTGCGGATTCTACCAGTCTTCCACCTATCATTATGGGCTCACCTGAGATTTCTGTGAAAACAAACATAATATCTAAGTAATATTTAGATATGATTCTCCACTTCTTACCTTTAAAAAAATTTCTCATCTTTCTCAGAATTGGAAATACAATAAATCTGTATTTACATCAGCTGGATGATGTATGTGAACATTTTGAGCCTTGGTGCAGCAGAATTCATTGCACTACTACTGCTACTCGTAAACTGTGGAAAAACTAGGGTGTTAATATTCCTTTTTTTTAAAAGCCAGAGGTGCTTTTTCAAATTAACTCTTTTTTGTTTTTTTTTTTCTTTTCCCCACAATCAGATAAAATGCCAGTGAAAGGTAGACAGTTGTACAAGGAAGAAAGTAACAGACTGTAGAAGGCAAGACAAGGAAACACCTTTGATCAATTATTAGTTGTCCCAGAACTGTAACCCCATGAGTTTCCCACATGGAGGCTTCTACCTCCTCTACACCATCCCCTTCCTTGCCCCACCCAAGACCCCAACCCTAAAAGTCTGTCAGTCCTTCCTGCAAGACCAAAAGTTTTCTGTGATTCTTGATAATTTTTCTTAGTAACGTCAGTGAGACCTCCAGCATTCTCATTTAACTTACAATTGCATTCCTTCTACGATTCCTTTTATGTGAAATAAGGGTTCACTAATCAGTGAATATTTAATAGGCCAACACTACTTCAAATACCTTTTCCCTTTCCTCTTTGTCCGCTCAGTTTGTATCACTTCTGCTGGGATTGCCCAGCAGCTCTTCCTGAGTCCTCCAGGGACTCAGAGCACTCAAGGTGTCCATCCGAAACTCACAGGATATTTTGAGGATCCTGATGGGTTTACAAAGGGATGGAACTAAAAAAGCAGTAAAGCTTCTGTCAAACCAGGCTCAGATCATCCCAACAACTGTTGTCTGGGATTCACTGACTTATACATTCCATGTGATCCCAGTGGATATGATCACATCCCCAAACCACTATCATAAATGTGACTGACTGATGAGCTTCTGGAAAAGCCAAGGCCTGAAAAGGCACTGCCAGGTCACAGGCACCAGCATAAGGAATCTGTTCATCCAGAAATAAAAAATAACAGCAATTGTGCTGTAATTGGAATCATTGCAGTACCTAGGCAAAGGAAGGGATTTTTTTTACCTCTTCTTTTTTTCAAAATGCAATCTACTAAGGAAGTTTGAAGTACAGATAAGATTTTGGATACACATGCCAAGGTTTGATGAAGGGTTTACGTTTGCCTGAAAGCCTTGCCAAATTAAATGACTGGCCAGTTGATATTAAGTGAAGCAATAAAAATCAGATAAAAAATAAGGTTCTCTCTTTTTGATTGGAGTGACTAACCACAATATTAGGTCCCATGTGCTTCTTTAGGACAAATTAAAATGCTGGTGAAGCCATGTATCCTTATTTACTCATCAGGAATGATGACTAAATGTAATGAGTCTTGTTTCCCTAAAGGCAGCTGAAATCAAAAGAAGGAAATGGAACATTTTGTACTTTCCCTATGTTATATCTGTGTTTGGGACGGAGGTCTCCCTCCCCTGCCCATGCAGCTCCCCACTCCTCTCTGGGCCCTTCTCCCTGGCACTCCAGCCTGGGTACAGCAGCAGGAGCACACCCTGCCCAGCACATGTGTCCTGAATGCTTTTCTTGCCATCTATGAGAATCCATAACTATAATTAAAAGCAGGATTCCAAAATCCATGCCTAAAAACAAAGGGAAAACCAGCAAAAGCTGGTCAGGATCAGCCCCCACCTGTTGTCTGCCCACCCATCTCAATGACACAGTGACACCACAATTTAAAGGTTCTTAAGTGCTCTTCACAGCCTGTTGATCCGCTTATGAAATTCTGTTCACTCAAACTTTGCAACTCCCATGTGACGTCTAACAGCCCAAAAGTTCAATTCAGAAGAGAAATTAAAAACACAATCCTACCAAAAGGAACATCCATAACACAATGTAGCAGCCAGTCACAACTACCCATTTTTCAAGTGTGTCTGTACCCAACTGTATGACTCAGTTGAGCCCTGGCATGTTAACAGAATAATGATAATAATTTTGATCTTCTGGTTTGTTTTTTTTTTTTTAATTGAGTCATACACACACACACATATACATATATTCACCTCAGGTAGCCAGCCAGTATTTACTGGGACTCACAGCTGCACCAGGAAAAGACAACAAATCTACTCAATGTCATGGATCTCAAAGTAAGGATACACTCATTAATTCAGTCTTAGATGTTTTGCTTGATCAAATTATAAATTAAGTTACAAGTATTTTAGTACTTTTCTAGGAAACTTCTCATCTTGTTGATACTATTTGGCTACTCTAATAAGTACTTCTTCCCCAGGATTCAAATAATCATAGACAGGCACCATTCTACCCCAGCCAGGGCTTCTTTATCAAGCTTATAGTCCACTAAAGAGAGCCCTGAAACTCTTATAATAAGACATGCAATATACATTTCTTTTGTATGACCTTGAATAACCTCCATAAAAACTCAGTCTCCCCTTTCCCACAAAGTGAAGTAATAGTTATTCCATTTAATTGAAGTAAATAGTTATTCCATCTGCACACAATGCAGAAAGACTGAATGGAAATCTCTCTATTGTGATAATACAGAAATTAGAAATTCTAGCATAAAATTACTAAAGCTGTTCAGTCAATGAACCAAGTGAGGGAAACATTCAAACACATGTTTAAACCCACTCCTGCTCTGCATTATTTTCCTTAAGAGACTCATTCTCATTTGAAGTGCTTTCCTCAACTGGGATCAATGTGTACTATACCATATTTATTTTTGGGGTTAACAGAACCACTTTGAGACTCAGGTAATATCATAAAGGAGGCGTATTAAAGTTCCCTGACCTGTAGGATAATTTCTGAATAAAAGATCCCTCCTAAAGACCAACAGTCAGGACTGTAAAAGTTTCAGTTAAAACCTCCTTTGTCTCTGAGAGTTACAAATGACCATTTCCACTATCCCAAATCTGGAACCAATGAACACAAAGACCATTAAAACAATTAAGGCCTCTTTCATTCATTTTTGATGTCTTACATATCATATGTTCAATAACTTTGTGATTTGACTCAATTCTTTGATTTCTAGCCAATGCCTTGGCAGCTTTTCCATTTAGTTCAGGGGAAAGTACAAAATATTCAGTGCAAGTGGTAAATTACTTATGTCTGTATGAATTAGCTCTCAACTTTTTGGAGAAGATACACCATCAGTAGCAGATAAAACTGCATCATTTCAGGCTACTGTCACCTAAGCTCCATTTGACAGGAAAGAAAATACACTCAGCATTTGCTTCTGATGATTTTTTATTGCTCTGCAATACTCTCTAATGCCTTCCAGCTGCATTGAGGACAATTTGTTCATTTCTCTCAGTAATCAAAATGTGTTTTGACTAGTAAGTCCCTATTTAGTTTTTCTGTAATCGTTTTTCTTAATGGGAGTATTTTCCAGACGTTGTGTTAGTCTAGTCATCCGGGCCCTCTTCCAAGCCCTGTGGAAAGTTTGCTGTCATGAGCTGTCATTGGTGGTGTGTTTAACAAGCTGCCTAATTACCTGACCCCAGCACAGCTCCAAAGCAATATATAAGGACTCTGGAACAGCCCTGGGAGCAGACACACTCTCTGCTAGGTAAGTGCTACACCTGTCTCTACTCAAAGCTCTTCTTCAATAGGAGAACAAGGAACTGGGACAGAAAATCCAAAGTTTTCATTTTGAAAGAAGATTTACTTTTAGTCTAATTTCCATTTGACATATTTCAATGTTAGGTTATGGTTTATAAAATTATGTTGCTGCATAACTAATGTTCTGTCAGTATTTGGTTTTATTATAGATTTTCATTTATCAGTATTATAACTTTCAACATTGTTGTGCTGAAGTGTACCCATGTTAGAAGACGACTGTGACTGTAGTCTTCATGTAATAGAATTCTGCAAAAATTTATTTCTATTACTTGTTAATAATGAATTTCTATAATCTTATTACAGAATTTAAAGGCTAATTGACTAATAATCACGAGGGAATTTATAGAGTAATTCTAAATTTTTCCTTTAACAGTTTTATTATTTATTTTATGTTTTTATCAAACTACTCATATATAAAGATATGCACAGCATTTTTAAAATTATGAATTAAGTGAATGGCAGGTAGTGATGTGAGATTATTTCTTTTTAGGAATGATGTCGTACCTGAAAGTTATGATCATATGGAACATACTTTGCTTATCCCTGGTGGTCCTTTCACTGTCCTTGATTCCAGAAGTGTCTTCTCAAGGTACTGTAACACACAAAGCTGAAGAGAGGGTGTCTAAGCAGTGTGTGCCTGATACACATTAAGAATATTTCAAAAATATAATAAAAATACTAAGTCCTAGAACTTTATTCAGATAGGAAATATGATTCAGTTTTATCATCACTGAATATTTTCATAAATACATTTTAGTGCAGCATAGTCCTCTTTGTTTGAGGAATAACATAAAAATATAAATGTAATGCAAAAGGTGTATGAATCGATTACTTTTTCTGTAGACAGTTTACAGAGCCTCTTGCCCCCATACTAATGTATTTAGCCCTAGTGATTTGCAGTTTGATTTAGGAAGAATCTAACATGAGAATATCCACAAAGGTTGGCTAGAAATATTTCAATAAGTTCAGGGAAAGAAATGTCTCTACCTTGCTAAGTGCTTTCCCGTTAAATGCACCATTGTTACACCAGTGAGGCAAATTAGGGGAATTATTTGTCTAATAATACTTCAAGCTCTATAATTGATTCCTTACTAAAGTAACACTGTTGTGGTGAAGCAGAACATGCCTCTAGCAAATCCTGTGCTGTTGCAGTTCTCTAATAGCTCTCAAATTTTCAGGGGGATGACACTAGGTATTACTTGCTGGTAGAAAATTATTACTACTTGATAGCAGAAGGCACAACGTCATGTATCTGAGAAGTTCCTCAGGGCACACCCCATGCCAGATATGACCTTACACTGACCCCTTGATAACTGATGCCTTTCCACCAGTTTCAGCAAAAAAGATTTTTGCCAACAGCAACCAGGACCATTCAGGCATTTTCCTTACAAGTAACTCCATAACTTGCAAGCCATAAAAGAAATTAATGAAGAGGTGCAACTATTGGACTACTACATATTATCCATATAACTACTGGACTTATTTTCTTTCCATAAAGGAAGAAGGGTTCAATATATTGGGCATACATCCATAAAGGAAGATGTCTATTTTGTCTTTTCAACTGCTGTATTAATAGCCCAGTAACTCAAGTTCATTAATGTCTGCAGTTATCCCTTCGTTCCACTTTTCTATTTGTGGCAAAGTGGTAACAAGCATTACAAGTACTGTTTGAAAATCACAGTATATGTAATAGATATAATATTTGTTATCCCATGCTTTTCCTTCAGACACACACACATGGAGTGTGTGCTGTTAGAAATTGTCTTTGGTGTTGTGTTGTGTTACATGTTATTTCCTTGTTGTTTCTCAATGTTTCAGCTGATTATCTGTTTGGGCTTGCTGATTGTTCAGCTTCTTTGTTTGTATTTAGGGACGCTTCACTTGTGGTCCTGCATGTTTCATTTCCAGAAGAAGCTGTTAGCTGGTTGTGTTAGCAGAGATTTCACAGAGGAAGGGGAGGGTTGCAGGGTGAATATCTGATTTGGCAGAAGAAGGCAGCAAGGCACTGCCAAGCTGGAATGCTCATAGGTTAAAGCAAGACACCTCCTGATGTCTTGTTTTATCACCTGTTATCTGCACCATTTCTTGTTATCCAGCATTTCCCAGCAGTCTGGCAGTAAAGTCATTGTGGGGATGAACTTTTCTGTTAGTGTGCTAGTACATAATCTTCTAATTAACAAAATGTACTTCATAGGAGTTACAGGGCTAGATACCAACTGTTCTTACCCTTTGAGCTGATACCAAATTCTTCCTTGACATTAGGGAAAAAATATAGTGTAGGGAGTAGGCAGATTTGGAAACTTCCAGTAAAAATGGTTTCAGGGACCTGTATTTATTATGAGTGCTCTCCAGTTTGCAAGCTAACCTGATTAGACGGGTTATTAGGAACTGCATTACCAACAGTAAAAATCAAACACCTAGGGGGTCTGTCAGGTATGGGTGTGCAGATGCACACCTGTTATCATACAGAGGGTGAATCAAATTGGAGAGTAAATCAGCAAAGCTGATATACTGTCTAAGGGGTTAGTTTGGAAGCCTGTGGTCATACTACAGAACCAATACTCAAGGATTCCTTAGTTTTCAGAAGAAAAGGGTTAAGTTATCTGAGTGGAAGACCCCTCTAACCTGAACATGTGCTACTGGTGGTCCTCAGGCTGGCTCAGAGCAAACCTCTGCTCCCCACACCTTCAGGAGGGGTCACACCAGGCTCTCAGCTTCTGCAGTACTGAGTGAGGAAACCACATTCTGTAGGAAAAGATGAGAGAAACTTTAGTTCTTTTCCATTCAGCATTACCTTAAGGACCGTTGTGGTTGGGCAATGCTTACACCAGTGTTGTGTGATTTTAGATGTATCGAGCTGTACAGGGAGATGTGGGTCAGGGTATTCTAGAGAGCATGACTGCCAGTGTGATTTTAACTGTCACCACTACATGGAGTGCTGCCCTGACTTCAGGAAAGTCTGCATAGTGGGTAAGTTCCCAAACACAGCCAGTTCCTCTCCTCAAATTCCACTCCCAGCTCCCTACCACACCAGTGTCTCCTCTCTGAATGCTTAAATGTCTGTTGGTTTGCTGTGTCCCTGTTCCCTCTCATACATGTATTGTTGCTCCCCTCAAATATTCAGGGTAACCTCCTGCAATCCAAAGAAAATTGTGTATCCACAGGTTATTGCCAAGCAAAGAATTTTGCTTTTTACAAAAGCAGAACTAGGCAAGATCAGCAAAAACTGTTTGTTTTCTACTCCTTAGTGTATTTGTACTGCATGCGTCTGTCTCTTATACAAAAAAAAAAAAAAAAAAAAAAAAAAAAAAAAAAAAAAAGGTTAAAAGCCAATTTAGGGTTTTGCAGAAAGAAATTCTGACATATTCCAACTCAAATTTAAGAAGTGTGGATGCTGTGGGGTCTAATCCAAAGCCAGGGTGTCCTTCCATGGACAGAAATTGACTCTGGATCAGAACCATGTCCAGAGTCTGCTGGAAAATGTGTTTGGATGAGTATTAATTTATGCCTTATTTATAGGCAAAACTGTACAATGTAAATAAAAACAGATTATTGCTTTACTGACCATTAAAAGCATTTTCTTAGCAATCACCAGTGTCAGAAATGTCAGTGATTTGGATAACAGTAGTTTGTTACGCTATACTGTGGTTCCAGTAGAATTACAGGAGTAACAAATACTTCTCAGAATCAGCTACACCACTGAGTGTTGTTCAAAATGCAGACCTAGCATTCCCTGAAATTCCAGTTCTGCTGCCCTGACACACACTGGGGACACTTTGCCCTTCAGTCTTCCCTATCTTCATTTGGCTTTGCGGGGGGACATCAGCATCTCTCACAGCTGAAGATGCAAAGTGAGGCATTTTAATTATGGAGGTTATTTATTCATTGTGGGTCAGATTCTAAAGGTATTCTGGCTTCTGCACAACATTTAACCAAAAGTTTAAGACTAGAGGAAGTCTTCCCTTTTCTACTCTAAATCAGTGAGTCCAGGCAAGCACAATAAGTGCCATCCTGAAAGGATGCAGGCAGTCTGCTTAAGGACTGTTGCCCAGTGAGTGTGGAATCAACACTGACTAAGTGACAGAAATGCCAGACATTATTTCTGAATAAATTTTTTTCCCTAAGATAATAAAAATAATTCTCACCTGTGCATGTGGGATGGATCCACTGGCTCAACACTTAATTCCACAACTGCATTAATCCAAAGATGTTCAGAATCTGCCTACACAGCAATCCTAATTTTTCTTGATAGTGATTTAACTGTAAAACATGATTTTATGCCTTGTGTGCCCCAGAGACAATGACTTCAATAGAAACCTACGTAGAGAAAGTGCTTTTTCTGAAGTCTAATAGCTGTGCACACTCTTTCTAACACAACATGGTCATTATTTGATATGAAATAGCAGTTTGGTCAGTGAAGTTTCAGAAGTTAACCAAACATGAAATATTAAAGTCATGTCAAAATATGGTATATAGTCCTTTAGTACTAATAATTAAAGAACTGTATTAAACAGTTCCAAACTGGTCTCTTGGGGTAACTTGGCTAACCTGTTCACACTAGGTTGCAGTGTTTGCCTGGACACACCAGGTCATAACCACTCGGTTGTGACCTAATTAGGTGAATTATGTTTCAGAAATGCTTTGGTATCAATCATTCTTGTTGTAAAGGGATACCCTGGTGAACACCTTCCTGCAAACCCAGCCCAGAATTTAAATATCACTCTTGAGATCACCGCTCTGTGGCTGGGGAAGCAGAACCCTCCTACGGTGGGACCTGGCTAAAGTGAACGCGGCGGTCAGGTTTTATTGCACTGTCAATCCAATGGTCACTGCCGTGGCACAGTGCCCTTTATGGCACTGCCTGACCCAAACCCCACATTACAGACAAATCCTGGATCAGACCGGGATAAGAGCCTGATTTTATGGAGCTGCTCTTGGCACCAGCTCGAGCCAACGACTTCACTGTAGAGAGGTCCCAGCGTTGCACACGAGCTGGCCCAAAGCCTGACTGTGCTGCTCTGCCTCCACAGCCGCCTCCTGCGAGGGACGCTGCTTCGAAGCCTTCGAGAGGGGAAGGGAGTGTGACTGCGACGCCGACTGCGAGCGATACGGAAAATGCTGCCCAGACTACGTCAAGTACTGTAAAGAGGGTAAGACATTTCTCTGTCTGTTTCACAAAGTCATATTTAAGCAGAGGTGCTTTACCATAAACAAAACAGTGTGGGTAACAACTGAAAAACAGGAAACAGAACAAAACAAATAAAACAAGACAAAACAAAACAAAAATAACAAAACCTAATTTCACAAACAAATTGGCCAGCTTCTCAAGCATGAACACTTTATGGAAACATACAGGTAGATATCCTGGAAGCCATCACCAAGATGTGAATTCTGAGGTTAAAGTCGTATTTTACATTAGGCTCTTTTGCCATTAGCCATGCTCTGTCAGAGCCCTTATTCAGAATATTGTCTGTAAAGATAAGGTCTCCACATCAGTAATAGAATTCAATGAGAGAAGCTGGGGAATCAGAACAGATTAGTTTGGAAAAGACCTTTTGAGATCATTGTATCCAACCGTTCCCCCAGCACTGTGAAGGCCACCACTAAAACATGTCCCAAGTGCCACATTCACATAGCTTTTAAATCCCTCTAGGAATTGGGACTCCACCCCTGCCCTGGGCAGCCTGAGAACTTAAAGCTCCCCTGGTGCTCCTAGGGGTCATTTCCTCTTGTCCTATCCCATGTTCTTGGGAGCACAGCCCGACCCCCCGGCTGTCCCCTCCTGTCAGGGAGTTGTGCAGAGCCAGAATTTCCCCCCTGAGCCTCCTTTTCTCCCAGCTCCCTCAGCCCCTCCTGGTGCTCCAGCCCCTTCCCCAGCTCCGTTCCCTTCCCTGGACACGCTCCAGCCCCTCAAGGTCTCTCTGGGCACGAGGGCCCAGCACTGGGCACAGCACTCGAGGTCCCTCAGCAGGGCCAGCACAGGGCACAGCCACTGCCCCGGGCCTGTGCCCACACCAGGGCTGGCACAGCCCAGGGGCCACCGGCCTCCTGCCCACCTGGGCACACATTTAGCCACTGTCTCCTGCACGCCCAGGGCTTTTTCCACTAAGCAGATGAATAAATAAATTGCAATAAAAAGGTGAGTTCATCTTCTAAAAACAACTCCCTTAAAATCCCCACCCATCCAAAAGTGGGGAATGGCTACTCTGTGCCTTTGGATAACACTACCTGGACCTCCAGACCACTTGCTTGTGGTCACCACAGTCACTGGCAGCATATTAGAGATGCACATCCTAGATTCTCCCCATCTCAAATCCAATGTGGGAAGAGCAGCCTGACACAGAAACCCAGCCTGTGGGGCAGGAGGGAGGAACTGAATGCCACATGTTCACAGTGTAGCAAGAAAAAATTTAAGAAAAGACATATTTTACCTTTAGGCTGCAAGTTCAGTCCAGGGCAGAATCAAACTGACCTGCAGTCACTTCTTTTGTTCTGTCCTTTTCTGCAGAGCCTGGTGGGGTTTCAGCTGAGCACAAAGGCACAGACCTGGAGGTGCAGTCCCACCCTCATGTAGCTTTCAGGACACCATCAAATGAACTCTAAAAAACAACAACAGAATATGTTCAATTTCATAATGTCCTTAAATTTTATGGTACCTACAGACCTAAATTAATTTCTGTCAACACACTTGACAAATGTGGCCTGGTACAGGATCGCTGCATCCACAGAGCAGCCCACCTCAAGGCAGCCAATTCCCAAAGCCCACAGCATGACACACAACACAAGTTACAATTATGATTTGGTTCTCTTCACCCATTTGGTCCCCAAGTGCTGGGATAGTGGCTTGGCTTTGCCACACAGCTGCCCAGTAATTTAGACTGAAATAGAGTCTGTATCCAGCATTTTTGACTGAATGTCTAGAGAAGTGTCTTGGAAGCATATTGAGGTGAATTTGCTGCTTATGAGGCTGCTTAGTATTTCCCTCTTTCTGCTGAGGAATCACACCCAAACACTCACAAAATGCTGTTAAAACATTTCATTTCTTCAGTTAAAATGTAATGAAGAATTAATCAACCGTTCCCAAGATTAGAGTTTCTTCTGTACTGTACTAAGCTTTGCTATCAGTTTTGGTCAAAAGATCAAGCAGAAATCCCCCAAACCACTGTACTCAGTATTTTACTACTTATACTATGTGTGAATAACTAAGAAATCTGTTAAACCTCTTGGAATAAATTTGCTGGCTTAGCATCCTCTGAACATTTTCTTCTCTACAGTAAAGCCAAGTGTACAATGCATACCCAGAGCTCACTGTTATCTTCCCTATCCTCCAGAAGCTCTTTATTCCCTGAATACATGTACACACACATAAGCAAAACGTTTCCCTCTCCAACAACTGGCTTTCAAAGGAGTCATTCAACTTCAATGTCTCTCTCTTCCTCAATAAAGGTTTCAGGATATAGTGCAATACCCAACCTTTCTTGTTTTGAGCACTAGCTCGCTGTGAAAGTAAATATTTTGACACCATGGTCATCCCTTGGAGACAAAAATCCCATTCCTTTTGTAAAAAGCTGATTACACACACCTCTAGCAGTTACCAGCTCCCTTGGTTGGATCAAAATAATTTGGCCAGTTCCCTGAGCTTCATCACATTTCCTTCACAATTAACAAGTTCCTTCTACAAGGCTATGCAAGCAGCTAATTTCCAATTGTACAATTTGGCCAACAATTAATTACAAAATATTATCTGGCTCTTACTGGATGCAACTGAATTTCCATTCACTCTTCAGAGCTGAAAAATCTGAACACAACCACCCACTTCTCCAAAAACTCAGCCTACTAGAAGTTAGCTTAAACCTATGTTGGTCCATGCCTGCTTTGTAGCTCCTGTCGCCTTCAAGGAAACCATTTATTTCAAAATGTCTCCCCAAAACAATCACTTGTGTAGAATTATCACATCTGAAGAGCTGCAAGGGGATTATCAAAGTAAATTCTTGGTTAATATGACAGCTCTCCTATTTCCACTAGAGTTAGTTATCTGTAGTGAAAGTCAAGTAGTGAAAAGTCATCTGTAGTGAAAAAAAATAAGGCAAATTTTCAGAACTAGAGCTCTGCTCAGAATTAATTTCTTTTCCCACCTCAAAATTTCCATTAGCTAATAATGCCTCACCTCAAACTTCAGGAAAAAATATTGCTCCCATCTGTGACTAAATACTTCAGGATCAAAAGGGTATTTATGCTGTTTTTCACACAAATATTTGTGTAAAGAATCCCATAAATGAAAAGAAACTTAGTTTTAAATGGAAGATGGTCACTGAAATTTTGTAATCACTCTTATACAGTTGACACCAAGTACCCATAAAGATAAAATAACCTGTTAATGGAAGCACCTCTCTCTTTCAGCACACACAGAAAAGCCAACCCCGGAGACTCCTCCAGACAACAAATCAACATCTAAAAGGTCCTCCACAGATGAGGAAGAGTCACCAGAGGAAGCTCTGGAAGGTAGGCAAGTATGCATGTATGCACCAGGATGGGTGTTACCTAAAGGAAAATTAAAGACCATTTTCCTGCTCTAGAAATAGAAAGCTGATCCTAGACATTACCAGACAGTTAGCAAGCTTGGAAGCACTTGGTTTATAAACTGATTACCTCACCAAGCCCTCAGGACTTTGGAGAGTTCACTCAGCACAGACGGTGCAGAGAGGTGATGCCTCCTGTGTCTCTACTGGATTGTCACACACATCCTCCAAAAACAGGGTACGGACCATTGTCAGTCTTGGACAGCGTCCGTGGCTAGAACAGGAAGGGTGGGACAGTGATGAACTGGCAGCACAGGAAAATGTCCTAGGAGGTTCCTTTAGCTTCAATCAAGCCAGGCCTTATGCTGCTTCAGTGAACACATTTATTTATTCTGACTGGAAAATATGCTGCTTTCCTGTGTTCTTTGGTACTGTGTTACAGCATTTGAAGTGATAACTCAGGAGACCAGTTTGAACTTGAAGCACAATTGAAAAGACACTACAAGTCAGTCACTATTTTAATCCTCTCCCCCTTCTTCTTTTTGTTTTAGATTTGGAGTACTTATTTTCTGCTGTTCCAATTTCCTATTACAAAAAAACCCAAAAAACAAACCAAACCAAAAACCAACAACCCCCCCCCAAAAAAAAAAAAAAAACAACAAACCAACCCCCCAAAAAAACCAACCCTAAAAACCATATAGTAGGTTAAATGAAAGAAAATTAAGGAAATTCAAATACCCATTAACAGGATCCCAGCTAGCTTATGGTATTTCAATACATGGGACGGGAGTGAAAACTATTCTGTAATATTCTGCTCATACTAAACACAAACATTTGTGAAAGCAGAACTAATCTGCAAAATCTCAGACAGAGAATACTTTGGGAGAGATTGAAATGAAGAAGCATTTGCTCTTCCTCTTACTGAATAACAATTTGACTCATATCAATAAAACTATAAATACAAGTAAAGAGAGCCTTAAATCCATACACCACAATGAGGAAAACAACCCAAGGAACAAAGATACAGCAGGAGATGCAGTCAGGGCTCTGTGTTCAGGAATTATTTTCATCCTGCTTCCCTACCTCACTCCGCCGATTCCAGGTTGTTGGTGTAGACTAAGTTATAAAGCACGGCAGTGGAATAAATAAAAATAACAGACTGAGAAGGGAAGTGTTCTGTTAGAAGGACTATTTTTAAAGTGTCTTCCTTTCCATGAAAGCAGCAAGAAACCCTAGGCAGCTGTGCTTACAGGCAACAAACTAAACCCTGAACCTGGGGCAGCGCCAGATTGGCCAAAAGGTATCATCTAAAACTGAGCTGAGCTGCTGCAAAGTCCCTTGCAGACAAAAGAAACTCCCATTCCACCTGGTCCAGGTTAGTCTGGCCATTAAAAAAGGACTTGCTATTTCAAAGGAAGCACCTACAGCTAACGGGTGTAATGCAATTACAGACAATACATACCCGCATGGCAATTCAAATGGCTGAACCAAATTTGTACTCGTTCTGTAGATCCTGAAATCCAAGTGACCACTCCTGCTCCAGCCACAGAGGAACCAGCCACCGAAGCCGACCCTCCCACTCCGGGTACAGAAGATGTGACCCCTGATGCCACAGAGGAGCCACTGACTGAAATGGACCCAACTGACCTGCCCCCAACACAAGACCCAACGCCCGACGCCACCGAGGCAGCAGCAACTGATTCCGAGCCCCCCACCAGCCCCACGCCTGAAGAGACAACCCCAGAGGAGCCAACAACACCAGCACCAGAGGAGACAACCCCAGAGGAGCCAACAACACCAGCACCAGAGGAGACAACCCCAGAGGAGCCGACAACACCAGCACCAGAGGAGACAACCCCAGAGGAGCCAACAACACCAGCACCAGAGGAGACAACCCCAGAGGAGCCGACAACACCAGCACCAGAGGAGACAACCCCCCCACCAGAGGAGTCGACAACTCCAAAACCAGAGGAGACAACTCCAGAGGAGCCAACAACTCCTAAATCAGAGGAGCCTACAACTCCTAAACCAGAGGAGATAACTCCAGAGGAGCCGACAACACCAGCACCACAGGAGACAACCCCAGAGGAGCAGACAGCTCCTAAACCAGAGGAACCGACAACCCCTAAACCAGAGGAAACAACCCCAGAGGAGCCGACAAATCCTAAACCAGAGGAGCCAACCCCAGAGGAGCCGACAACTCCTAAACCAGAGGACCTGACCCCAGAGGAGCCGACAACTCCTAAACCAGAGGAGACAACCCCAGAGGAGCTGACAACTCCCAAACCCAAAGAGCCAACCCCAGAGGAGCCGACCACCTTGGCAGACTCTCCCACTACCCCCAAACCTGAAAAAACAACCCCAGAGGAGCCAACAACCAAGGCAGACTCTCCTGCCACCACCCCCAAAGCTGAAGAAACAACCCCAGAAGAAACAACCAAGGCAGACTCTCCCACCACCCCTAAAGCAGAGGATGCTGACTCTCCGACCATCCCTGCAGCCCCTGAGGCCAGTAAAGCCACAGCTTCTCCAGGCAGTGCTGAACCCACAACTGTTGGCAAGGACTCCCCCACAGCTGGGGCAGGGACAATGCTTTCAGATACCACAGTTGAGAACAAGGAGACAACAACACCAAAGAAAGACAGAACTACTCTGCTTAAAGACATTTTCACAGCTGCAACTGGGAAAGACACAGTTACTGTAGCTATGGTGACAACAGCTAAACCAGGTGATTCTCCTAAAGGTATGGATGACCTTCCAAACACAGCTCCTACGGCCGAGGAACCTGTCACTGCAGCAGCTGAATCAGAAACAACTTCTACAGACACCAAGACTGCAACAACAGCAGCCACAGCTCCCTTGCCCAATCCCACTGTGCTGGTAACAACCATCAAAGAAGATTCAACTCCTCAGCCTGGTGAGGCTGTAACACCAAATGAAGAAGAGACAACTACAGACACTGAGCAGGCTGGGCCAGCAGCAGACAAAGAGAGCCCAGGTGCTGCTTGTGTTATTGTGGAGATGACACCTGGTAAAAAAGAGGTAACAACCATTAAAGAAATGGGCACCACACCTGAAAAAGAAATGGAAGATGTCACTGAAAAGGCCCCTGGTATTGCCAAAGAAGAGGTAACTACAGTTCCCAAAGAAACCACAACAAGGGATAAAAAGGACACAATAGAGGAAATGTATCTTGTGTTTAATGGGACATCCAAGCCAACAATACATTTCCAGGAGGTCACTGAGGCCACAGAAGAGCCTCATCCAACTGAACCTGAAACTCTGCCAGCGAAAGAAGAACCGGAGATAAACAAGCCTTTAATACAAGTTGGGGACCTGCCAATGTTCCCTGGAGAAACACAAGGTAAGTGCATTCCAGCAGGTATGAAAGCATCAGCAGCTGTGGAGTTAATTAAATCCTCCAGGTAGTTCAGAACATGATCTAAATTAATTTGTTTCAGTAATTAGTCCTACTGAAAATTGTTCGCTATCAGTTTCTCCTCCTTCTGTTTGCTATCATTGAAGATGCAAACAGACAAAAAGTCAAGGAAAAAGATGACAAATTTCAAAATCCCCTGAAAAAAATTGCTAGAAGTCAGGCTGCATATCCACCCTCCCTCATGGTACTTAACCTGGTGTTTTGTAGCCACCTACTAAAAATATCATATAAAAGAGACAAGAAGTCTCTTGCCTTGCTTTCTGCCACAGCCTTTTTCACCCTTTCTTTATTTTAATCAGTCTGCAGGTTCTTGGGCAATTTTTGAATCAGATACTGAAAGATATTTTGGGGGGAAAAATTAGGGCTTTAGATGCAAAATACTTCAATTTCAATTTAAAAGCGATTCATCGTTCCTTTATATTTAACTGCACAAAATTGTTTAACTGAAAATAAGCATAAATGCCTTTTATTTTTTTATTTTTTTTTTAAAGAAATAACAAAAGGGAAGAGAAGCTGCTAAACCAGCTTAAAGGAACAATAAAATCCTAGAGCATGTAGAATACGAGGTGTTTGTAGGTGTTTTCCTGAATTACAGGCACTTAGGTGGCAATAAGCAAAGACACCCACACCTGGTCACTCGGCACTGCTGCACCAGAGCCGAACTTCCCGAGAACACGTCCCCGATGAGGAATTAATCCCTGGCCCACCGGCGGGACCGAGGGGAAAGCTAAGGCGGTTCCTGTGGAACCTTAAACAAACCCACCTGGCTGTGTTTTGCAGAGAAGAACGACGAGAAGGACCTGTGCAGCGGCAAGCCAGCGGACGGCATGGTGGCCCTGCCCAATGGCACCCTGGCCGTCTTCCGAGGTGAGACTGCTCCGAACATCCTCCACGGGCTCCGGCGTGGCCCCGTTTCACCTTCACCAGCCCCAGCCCTCCTTCACCTGCACCTGCTCCTGCTCCGGCCCCGGCCCTCCTCTTTCCCCGCACAGCGCCGGAGCTCCTCCCTCACCTGCCCCAGCCTCCTCCTTCTCCCTCATCTTTCCCGAACCCAATCCTTCACCTTCACCTCCTCCTCCTCCTGCCCCGTCGCTCTTCCTCCTCTTTTGCCTCCTTCACTCGCCCCGGTGCCCCTCACCCCTCAGGAAACTCTCCCGAGCCCAGAGTCCGAGTCCCCCGATCCCTCATGGGGCCGGCTCAGCCTTGTCCCCCGGGGCAGGACGGCGCTGTCCCCGCCGCCCCTCACGCCTGTCCCCCCTCCAGGTCACTATTACTGGCTGCTGAACGGCCGGACCCCTCCGACCACCAACCCCCGCCGGATCAGCGACGGCTGGGGCATTCCCTCGCCCATCGACTCCGTCTTCTCCAGGTGCAACTGCGATGGGAAAACCTTCTTCATCAAGGTGGGAGCGGTCCCGGCCGGCAGGGTGGGGCGAGGCTGATGAGGAGCAGCTGGGGAGGCTCAGCCGGGGGACAAGGAGGAGCAGGGGGATCCCTGTGGCTCTGCACAACTCCCTGACAGGAGGGGACAGCTGGGAGGGTTGGGCTCTGCTCCCAGGGAACAGCAACAGGATGAGAGGGAACGGGCCTTAGGTTGCACCAGGGAGGTTCAGATTGGATACTGGGGAAAAAAGATTGCCTAAACTTATTCCTAGTGTGTTTCCCAACCTGAAATAAAATGCTAACGAAATGCACGTGTCTCATTAAAGCTGTCATGCAGTTACTTCCCAATAAATCACGCAGTCCTGGAATTCAAGCTGCTTGTTATATCTATGAAAATTTAAGGGCTTTAGAAAGGAAACCCCTTTGTTCAGTAACCCCTCTTAAAAATTAGCTTCTAAGATCCTCCAACCCTACTCAAAGGTTAAAAGGCTGCAAGAGGTACTTAAAAGTTGTAGTAGTTTTATCCCATTTGTATGGATGTAGGAGTGATTCCAGTCAGATTTACAATGTAGCTATCAAAGTGCTACTGCTTTTTTATGGATTTATGGATTATTCTTCATGTTTGTTTTGCAGTTGAATAACCAGGAATTAATTTCCTCTAAAGCACTTTTTTTCTTTCTTTCTTTTTTTCTCCTCCTTAAATGCTCAGGGTCCCCTGTACTGGCGCTTCACTAATGGTGTTATGGATAATGGCTATCCCAAACCTCTCGCAACTGGATTTGCAGGGTTAAGTGGGAGAATAGTAGCAACCCTCCCTGTGGCAAGATACAACAGCAGACCAGAATCTGTTTATTTTATCAAAAGAGGTATGTCTTGTATTCCTGAAGTTCAGGGAACATCAAAAGGTGCTTGAATTGCCTTAGTCAGGAATTCACTGTTTCTCTTGATCCGAGACCTATTTCTTTCAAACACAAAAACATAAATGATGCCAGTGTTCCAGGTGCTCAAAAATAGCCTGAAGCTTTAAAAAATTTGTATTAGAACTTGGAGGTCTTTCAGTGCATTTTAAACCAGGTCTGTAAGGGTGAGAATCCAGGAATCTAGCACTGTAGTGGCTGGACATTGAAGTAAGTTTCATCTGGTGGTAAAGCTATTTTAGTCTCAAGTTAATTAGAGAAGGGAAGGCTTCAATCTTGCTAGTTCATAACTATGTGTGGAAATTTCCATCTCTATTTCTGATTTCCTATTTTAAAGTATTTTCCTTATCTTACATGAATGCCATACCGCCACCACAAGAACGTTGTTATTGATTCCCTGTGTGTGATAGCAATATGACATTTTCATACCTGATCAAGCTGGTAGTTAGGTGTTTTTTTGGGGGGGGATTTATTTTTTTAAACTAACAAAACAAACGTGTTTTAGATGGGAACATGCAGCAGTATGTCTACAGACAAGAGCCAGCCAAGAAGTGTCAAAGAAGAGCCCGGGTCACCATCAGATACCCAGCCTTTGTCCCCAGAGTTGTCATCAGGCGGCGCTTCCAGCGTGCTGTGCGAATGCCGACCGTCATCCGCACCGTCAGGATCAACTCCCACCCCTCTGGTAAGTGGCACTAAGGCTCTCTTACACAGATGCTTTCACCTCTGACACAACATTGTGTTTGGAAGGTTTCAACGGCTGTAGGGGACACAGTGCCACAGCAGTGCCACAGCTCCTCAAGGAGAGTTCCTTTTGCTTGCAGGAGTTCTGCGCAAGGAAATCCAAATGACAACGTACTGGAGAGGGCTCCCCAAAGTCGTCCACTCAACTCTCTCCGTGCCCAACCAGAACAAGCCCGATGGCTACGACTACTATGCCTTCTCTTACAGTAAGTAAAACTAAAGCACATCACTATAGACCTCAAAAGATATGGGGGTGGGGAAGAAAGAAGCTCCTGTTATTATTTGTGGTCCTACTTTCAGCACTACTAAAAAGTCCTGAGAATTAAAGTGTTGCCCATAATCAAGAGATGTTTCTATTAAAAATCAGTAGTTATAGGACAATGTGCAGCAATGAAATACAGAGGTTCAAAGCAGCCAGTTGGGGAATGCATTGCCAGTGAGTTCAGCCTTGTAAAGGGACAAACCTTAAATGACAGATTATGTTAATGATAGACTGAAGTCTTTGGATCACAACACAGAAAGTTATTAGATGGCTTCTATGGAACTTATGTTTCTGACACAACACAAAAAGGAGAGAGATGAACCACTTGACACAGCTCAAAAAAATTATTTGTGATCCTAGGCAGACTCATTCCCCCAGCCAGGATCCCGTATAAGCATTCCTCAGTTTTCAAAAAACTAAATAGCTCTAAGGACAAGCTATACACAAATACAGGCCATTAAAGGCCCTGTCAGTAAGATCCAATTCCTCACCTTGGAGGAATCAGCCTCACAGGCTCATTCACACTCAGGGACCATGGACTTCCCACTTCTGTAGTGAGTGCAGGATTGTTGTGGATGTAGTTACTTTGATTTCCAAATTCTTAAGACTATTTCTGTGTTCTAGCAACACAAGAACATTCTTCCCTGCTCCTGCTCTTGGGACAGATTTAATTATTAGCAATGCCATAAAACTTACTGCAACCAAGGACACCTGAAAAATAAAGCTGAGGACAGAAATTTATTGTTGAAGCCTCTCAGCTCCCTGTATGCACATGGAACAGTAAATCTGTTATCCAGGCCTAAGTGACATTAAATGAAGGCTTGAGTTTGTGAATTCTTCCCATGAATTTAATACAGTCTCTGGAATTTAATCGTGACCTCTCTTCCTTTCAGATCGGTACTACAGTTTGGATGTTGGCAAAAGAATAGCACGACCTGTTACTGCTCTCACAGGAAAGACTGTAACCAAAGACTGGTACAACTGTCCCAGCAAGTGAGGCACAGCAGAGGAGTTTAAATCAAGATGCCATTTGGATGTCAATGTTTTTTCTAATTTTATTAATAAAAGACATTGAAATATGTGCACACAACTCTAAGTATTAAAATGCTGCTTCAAGCTCTGGCTTCATTACACTAAGCAACCACAGGCAAACTGGCATTTTGTATACACAGCTGAAAGTCCTTTACATTTCATTTAACTAATGTTCCCTCTGTTCAGGCCTCCTCTGCCTCCCATGGCATGAGTTACACCTGTGCAGGGAAAAAAAAACAAGTGCATTAGTATAAACCCTTCTAATCAACCATTGCACAGGTGATACTTCATCTTTCCCTAAAGAATTGTCAGGGCAGTGGAGTGGTTCCCTTCTGATACAGTTCAAGTTCCCCCTCTGGCCCCTAAGCCTGGTGACACATGCACATGTCACCTGTGTCATGCAAAAGGCTGGGGGTGACTTGTGATCCTGAACCAAACCAATGAGCAGAAGACTCTTACAACATCTGAAATAAGTTAGTCCCTCTTTTTGTTATTTAAAAAAATGGTGACAGATGGAAGAAAATCTATCCTAGTCCCACCTCCTTATTTTTTCCCCTTAATACCAGCTAATCTATATTTCAATGTTAATATTGAGTATTCTACAGTTTTAAAATAGTGCAAAACAGAACAAAATCCATCAAAGGCTTTTTTTTTTTAAATACAGAAGTTGCAAGTTAATATTGAGTCTTCTACAATGTTAAAATAGTGCAAAACAGAACAAATTCCATCAAAGGCTTTTTTTTTTTTTAAATACAGAAGTTGCAAAAATAATTTCTTGCCATGGTTTAACTCTATTACACTGAAAAACCTGTAATACTACCAATAAAGCTTTTTTCAATGAGTACACATTGATATAACTGGAATCCTTAATGTACCAAATGGAAATTCCTCTAATGCTAAAATTAGAAGTTTCTAAACCGCTGTCCTAATAGACTTCTGAAACCTTACTTTAAAACTTTGAAGATCTAATGCCCTTTTACATTCTCTCTACTGATAAGAGCCAGGTGCTACGGCAGAAGGAAGTTTGCCTGTCCAAAACCTGCTCAGCCTAACACACTAAACCCAGACTAGAGCTCTTAGGGTCACACACCAAACTCGAGGGCAGGGCTGCTGTGTCACTCCCTCCCTGCCTGGCTGGGAGCAGCCAGGAGCACTTACCCCTCTGCCTGTTGAACTGCCGGCCGCGCACGCCCGTCCTCAGCGTCGGGGGCTGCAGCCGGACACGGCGCAGGGACTTGGGCTGAGTGCTGCTCGTGTCTGTGGGAGAGGCAGTGCAGAAAGAAAGGGTGGCTGTGCCTGCCAGGTTCTCATCTTTACATGTTTTCGTATGTGTTATGCTTTCTTTACTTTAGAATGACGAAGGTGCCTCCTTCAATTTCATTGACCTCTCCTCAAAAATAAATAAAAGCTCCAAAACAAGTCTGGGACTTCTTTTGCTCTCTATACAAGGAGGTTAATTGATAACTCAATAGAGATTAACTTATTGTTGTTTGACAATTTAATTAAAAATATTTTAAAACTGACATCAAATATGCCAAATCACCGAAGTACCAGTAACGTTTGCTCAATGAAGTGTTATTCTTTTTTGGCCTACTCCAGTTACTGTGGTCCAAGAAAAAATGGTTTACCAAAGAATGCATAGGCATCAAATTATCATCTTGCTCTAAGATAATCGGGGAAGATCTGGGCTCCAGAAAAGCTGGAGAAGGACTTGGGACAAGTGATGGAGGGACAGGACAAAAAGGAATGGCTTCCCATTGCCAGAGGGCAGGGTCAGATGGGGTACTGGGAAAGAATTGTTCTCTGTGCGGGTGGGGAAGCCCTGGCACAGGGTGCCCAGAGAAGATGTGGGTCCTTGGAAGTGTCCAAGGCCAGGCTGGACAAAGCTTGAAACAACCTGGTCTAGTGGAAGGTGTCCCTGCCCATGGCAGGGGTGGTACTGCATGGGCTTTAAGACCCATTCCACCATTCTATGAGTCTGTGATTCTAAGAGTTTTATCTTATTTTGTGTAACCCTGGCTACCAGCCACAATGTTGGACAAAGGAATTCCCACTCTTAATGAAAAGGTACGAACTATTATTGTGATTATTCTGTACCTGCAGATGAACTGGAAGGAGGATCCTGACTAGTTGAAGGAAGATCTGACTCATCAGATGGTTGAACAGATTCTTCTTCTTGCTGGCTATCGATTTCTAGGCCTGCTTCTGAAGTAATGCTAGAAGGGAAGGTGGAGGAGGAGAACCATGTAAGTATACTTGCATAGCTTCAGAAAGGTCCAGAAAAAAACAACCTCTGTCTTGGAACACAAAGATTCAATGAAAATCAAAAGTAAAATATAGCATAAAATTATAAACTCTCCCCTTTTAGATCTTAACTTCACCATACTTTCCCTTAATGAAAAGGTACGAACTATTATTGTGATTATTCTGTACCTGCAGATGAACTGGAAGGAGGATCCTGACTAGTTGAAGGAAGATCTGACTCATCAGATGGTTGAACAGATTCTTCTTCTTGCTGGCTATCGATTTCTAGGCCTGCTTCTGAAGTAATGCTAGAAGGGAAGGTGGAGGAGGAGAACCATGTAAGTATACTTGCATAGCTTCAGAAAGGTCCAGAAAAAAACAACCTCTGTCTTGGAACACAAAGATTCAATGAAAATCAAAAGTAAAATATAGCATAAAATTATAAACTCTCCCCTTTTAGATCTTAACTTCACCATACTACAAAACATAGCAATTATTATAAATATTGTGAGTTGCACTTGTAAAGCAAAAGACAAAATTATTTGTCTACAAAATTCACTAAGAACTGCTTATTCCAGCCCTGTGCCTCATCTTTTGTACATGCACTGTCTTAACTGGGTGACTTAATCATAGATGTGTGCTTTGCATGAGGAGTGATTTTCTGTATTACACAGGAGTGCCTTAGTCTTTATTCTACAAACTGATCCTTCAACCCGTGCCAGTATTTGACTCCTGCAGAGTGCTTTGCATTCTTAAAAAATAGTAATTTTTTTTGGTGACTTTTATATTAACTTTGTTAAACCCCAAGGAGAAGATCAGCAGATCATTGGTTTTGGATGAAGAGTCAGATTGTCCTGCCCCACAGCACTACAAAACGCTGTCTGAGCTGCCCCTGGGTGACAATGGACGTGTCAGCAGTGCTAGTGAACCAAAGCAGCAGTGGTGCTTTACCCTTCAGACTCTGCCTCTGCGAAGACCTCGTCGGCGTCGTCGCCGGCGCCGGGCTCGGTGGTGGTGGACAGGCTGCCGGTGGAGGTGGTGACCATGGGCACAGACTGCGACGCGTGCTCCGAGGCGTCGGCTGAGGCGCTCTCCGTGAACACCGTCACTGCGGAGCACAGACACCCTCAGGCCCTGCCCACAGAGCCCTGTGACAGCACAGGCAGCTCGGGGACAGGCTGCCCAGCGCTCCTGAGGAGCAGCAGCACTGCACTGATCACAGGGAATCATTCCCTGCTTCGCTCTGCAGACCTCTGCCACTTACCCGGTGCTGCCACTTGTAACGGTGTTGTGGGGACACTACGACCCCCTGATTCCTCCTCGTGGGCAAGGAATAGTGGGGTTTCATACATCCCTAAACCTGCAACACAAAGTTCCAGTGACAATCCATCCAAATGAGTGGCTATAAAAAGGATTAACCAATGTCTTCCCTCTGGCCACCTGATAAAATCCAGTCACTTGTATTTAAGCAGATTTTTGTTATTTTGTTTTGACTCACTGCCAGAGCTGATCACGATTTATTGGAAGGTAAAACCTTGATGAAAATATTACTGCTTGTTTTTTTTAACATTCATAATTGTATTATGCCATTATTTTGCTGTGAGCTTTCTTCAGAGAACAGCCTGTGTTCCATGCCAACAGGTATGCCAGGGAAAGGGACAGATTCAGACCACCAATAAACACAACAGCCTGGCCATCTCTGAGCAGATAAGGATATAGCCCAAAGATTTCTTTGCATTTGATATTTTCCCCTAACGTTTCACTACAGGGAAGCTACAACCAATAGTAAAATTGAAGTTAAAAACCATTCCTTCAGTATTTCATTCAATTTCCAAAACCTAACACGACTATAAATGTAGCAGCTTGAAGATAACACCTTGTCAATTTCTGTTATTCTCTCCCTGCTGACAATTATTGAAGAGTTGCAGGTTTCCACACTTTAACAATTTCCTGAAGCATTGTGTGAAGAATTGTGTTTTGTTGACTGAATTCTCTCTTTTTCACTCCAAGACTCACAGAAAAGAGAGCCCAGAACTGCTTTACCTCCTTGTGATGCCAGCTGCCCAAGATCAGAGTGACTGGAGCTGGTTTGTGGCATATCTTCAGGGGGCCCAAATCTGAACCGAGGAACTCCAGCTACCTGGGGGGAACTGGAAAATACAGACTTCAGGAATTCTGCAACCTCCCCAAAGATCGGGGCAGGGGGGAGAACTTTCTGACCAAGAGAACAAATCAAGCATGACACAAAATGAGCTAATACTGACCATAAAAATCAGCTGAGCTACTGCTAAATAAACAGCAATTAGCTCTCAAATTATTAGGAATGCATTCAAAATCAGTACAACAGTCCTGAAGAGAATATTCTTTACTTATCCATTCTATGAACTTTCACAATTTTAAGTAGATTGCTGGACATGTCCAGAACATCCCAAAAGCAAAAATGGAGGTAACTTTTCCTACTTTCATTGGCAATACCAATGGGGAGGGAGGAAGAAGAAGGAAGGAAATTTGATAGAACTTTTTTGTTTGTTTAATCTCTTCTTAAATCACCAGGTTACAATACACTGGAGAATATTCACTTCCTAATTTGCTGATCAGTTATATGACACACAATTCAAACAATAATTACTCATCTGCACATGCAGTTATCTATCCTAACATGTTACTTCAATCACAAGTTCATTTAATTTACATTTATTTTAATTTCACTGAAAAATAGAAAGAAATAGAATAAAGAAAAGCCTT